CTCCCTAAGAGGTATTCAGGGGCCGGAAGTTGCTGACAGGAGGCTGACGGTTAAGGCGTAAATGACACAGGAGACAGAGGAAAGTTTGGAGGAATCGTAAAGTGGATATTTAGATGCCTCTCTGAAAACTGAAGTTCACTGTGGCTATAAACTTTGAATAAATTTGCCCCAGGCATGGACAGCTTCAGACCATCTGGCTAGCTTAGTGCTGACCACAAAGAGACCTGATCTGGTCATTACAGTGGCTGAAACACTAGCCCAGATCTGCCACAACCTGTTTGTGCATCTGCTCTCTGATAGAGGAGGCAGCCAATAGACATGTGTGGATGAGAGTAAAAAAATAAATGCTATAAGAAATGAGTTTCTTTTTAAAAGAGTCATTTTATCAAAGGAGAGAGTCCAGTGATCTTCATTTTGGAGCCGAGCGGCATGAAGGGGAGGGTGTGGGTCCTGGGTCCGACGGGCCTGGGGTTGAAGCTTGGTTCTGCCACTTTTGAACTGAATCTGGCAAGGTCTGCCCTTTCTTGGGGCTCAGCTTCCCCATCTGGACAAAAGCAACCCCTCAGAGGTTATCGCGGATCCATCTTGTGCAGAGGTAAGCATCTGAGAAGGGTGGCAAGTTGCAGGGTCTTGCCTCAGCTGTAGGAGTGACAGGGAGGTATGAGGACTAAACAGTCTGGTAGGACCCAGAGAGTGAACTTCCCAGGGCCGGATTTTATTATGTTGTTAAGTAATGAAAAATCTAATTCCAAAACCACCCGTCTTTCGATACAACAATGGAGGACAAATTGTATCTTGTTTCAAAATAACAGATGCCAAATTCTAGGAGTCTGAGTGTCAGGGATTACATGATGATAACGTGAGGATCAATCTGTTTTTAAAGATAGCTTATCATGGCATATTTATTAAATATTGCAATTATTCCTATCTGTCTATCTATCTATCTAGCTATCTATCTATCTGATCATGCTTGGAGACCCTTGGCAAACTGAGAAATCCCTATTGCTCCCTTTTCAATATGCAAGTTTGAGTTTATGAAGTGCAAGAAAGTCAATTTTATATCTGCCTTAAGTGCCACATTCAGACTATGAAAGCGGCCGTTTAAAAAACCTTTAGGTAAATATTTGAAATATTCTAAAACTGACATTCTGAATGATATTCTGATACCACTTCAATAATGTTTTATAAAATTCCGAGGAAACATAGAATTAAGTAAATTTGAACTTTCCCTTTTCCGAAGCAGTTAAAGGCCGCACTATTTGCATATTCTAATGTGGGATCACTGTAGCTCAAGGTACCAAGCTTCGAAAGAGACTGTCCCTAGCAGGCCAACAGAGCCGAGCCGTTAACCTTTGGCCTTTCTTCTGTATAAGACAAAAATCAAAGTCTCTTCTTTTCAAAGCGGCTTCTGTATAACCACTCAGCATAGTCCTTGCTTTCCAGAACTGTCTTTGGAAGCACAATTAGAAGGTTTAAAAAGCAGAAACACAAGCTCCATCCTATTTACACATTTAAAGTAAAGGTCATTCTCAGAAACTGGGCTTCCCAGATTTCTCCCCCTGAAATCCCTTAAGATATGTAATACCAACATAAAGGGAATCACAAATCCAGTTTTCAGAAAATGGCATTAAATATAGATTTAAACTTTGACCTTTAGTCCCAAGTGAGAGGACAAAAAATTCTCTTTAGAGTGAAGGGCATGTTGCTACTAAGCTCAATGAGTAGGAGCGAACCTGCCTGGTGGTAGCCAGGATTAAGAAGCACCAATCGATTTACCTCCAATGCAGGTGTGCTGCAAATCCGCTGGGTCCAGATGTAGTGCGTGATTGGGCCAGGCTCATCTATATTCTAGAGTTTGTAGAAGTAGCTTCTCGGAAACAGGGGTCTTCTTGGCTTAGGGAATTGACGTTTCCACGGCAATATTTGAAATGCGTTCGGAGTGAGCAGGAATCAGAGATGGAATACACAGGGTCTCCCACTCCACATTAGGGTCATGAGCAGTGGTGGGAAATCCATGGGCAGCAGAGTGATGGATTGGCCAAACAGGGAAATCATAGAGACCCAGAGCATTCATATTTTTATATCCCTTATTACCCTGATTACTCTGCAGGTGCTGACCAGGGCCCCAGGCTGACGACTCACTCTGCAGGTAATCTCACGGCTATATCAATGACACATTGATATTGGGGCCTAGGTGGGGGAGATGATTGACAATGGGAAATGGAGGTTATCTATGAAAGGGACTATCAGTTATGTGCACACCCAGAGGCAGAAGAAGGAATTTTCCCTGAGTGTGGAATTTGCTAGAACAATTAAGAAAGTAATGAGATAAACAGGAAAGAGCATTGGACTGGGAGTCAGTTTGTTTTGCTCCCTACTAGCTGGGCGAGCCCACGATTACTAGATAGCACAATTATTCATTTGTTTGTCTCTGTCCCTCAACAGTGACCTTTAGTACTAACCTGATCTTGCTGATTTGACATCAGTGCCTGGTTCATACTGGGTGCTCAGCAAATGCTTGTTGATTGGATAAATGAGGGAAAGAAGAAAATTATTTGTTGGGAGTGACCCAGTACTCATCCAGTCCAACTCTTTTATGTTAAAGGTAAAGAAATTGAAGCTTGGAAAGATGAAATAACTTGATTGAGGTCCCACTACTTGTCAGGTGCAGGAATAATAATAACAAGGATAATGATGATAGTTAACATAATCAAGTGCTTGAACTGTGCTGTATGTGCTGTTGATTTCTTAGCTGGTTCTCAGCTCCATACTTACTCTTCTATTTTCTCCTCTGTATCCAGGGTTTGGAAACATGAAAACTACATTTCCCAGACTCCCTTGCCAGCTTTGGTTATGTTGTGTCATTGGGAAGCGCTCACAGAATCTTGGGAAATGGGAACAGGGGAGAAGTCATTATGTCACGATTTTAACTAATTAATTAATTGTCTGGTCCAGGTGGCAACAGCAGCAGCTGCAGAAATGGAAGGTGACTGCAGACTGCTGTAACACGGCTGGTGAGTGACAGCACCCGTGGGTTTGTTGGGCTCCTGCAGCCTCAGCAAGGGCACAGGCTCCTGGCTTCCTCATCATGGCAGCATCAGTGTCTGCAGCAGTAGGGACAGCAGCGGCATTCAGCAGCCTCGTGAGACAGAGCTGGTGAGCTGTGGGTAATCCCACCTCCCCTTTTGCCCTTCCTGTTCTGGAGGATAGGGTCTTGCTGCAGTTGCTGAGCTCTGTCTGGGAAATATCGCCTTCCTGGTTCTGCTCCAACAGCCCTTCCAGAACATTTGTAACCAATCTCTGGTACTAAATCTCCCTGCTGTGCTTTATGTGGATCCTCTCATTGTATTCTCATAGAAACCTATGAGATGTGAGCCATTAGAACTACAGAGCTATTTTACGGATGAGGAAACTGAGGCTGAGAGACACTAAGTGACTTGCCCAAGGTCACACAGCAAGATGGTGGCAGAGCAGGGAGATAAGCCAGGTCTGTGTAATCCCTAAATCCACATATTTAACTCTGCCCGTGAGAGCAACTCTGCCTCCCGTCAGATTATCTCATGGAGGTCATGTGGGTGCTCAGTAATGGGGTCTTCCTCTCCTGTGCGGGGTGGGACTGATGTCAGTGGGCCCACTTCTTTAGAATGCTCTTTCTCCAGGACCCTTGTTTTCTTGCCGCTTGACCCGAGCCTCATGATACGTCACTTCCTCCATTGACTTTATAGGGGCTGGTTTATCTTTTGTCAGCAGGGGTAGCTAAGGGAATGGTGCTGTTGGCAAGAGAAGCAAGGAGGTTACCTCGAGTGAGGGTTTGAGGGGAGAGCAGGGGGTGGGATGAACAGGCCCAGGGTTAACACACAGCAGGCCAGGCCCCCCTGTCAGGACAACGTAGAGGCAACTAGCTTCTAGCTGTGGGTGGAGATGCACTAGAGGGCTGAGGATTGAAGGACTCAGTTCCCGTAGATGGCTTAGAATGGTGCCTGGCTTACCTTAAGCACTCAACCAGTGTTAGCTTAAGAAAAGGTCACGAGGCGTGAGGTGCTGCAGGAGGTACCAAGGCAAACAAGAGCCAGTCAGCTCGGGGGATGTTCACCCAGAAGGAGCTGAGCTGCGGGCACATGAGAACTGGGACGGAAGAGCTATGAAGCCAGCACAGGCATGCTGGGGGTGGGGGGGTAAGGGGAGTCCTGGGGCACAGAAGGGGCCAGCCAGACTCTGGGCTTTGAGCAGGTTCTTATAGAGGAGTGAGATATGAAGATGTGGCCATGGGGGCGGGAAGCACCTTCCCCAGGCAAAGAAACTGTCTCAGAGGTATTGTCCAGTGAAAGTCTAAACTCTCAGGGGAATTTTTATGAAGCTCCCCATCTCCCTTCTAAATGTCTGACAGCAGCTTCTGTGGACCCCCAGTGCCTTCAGGTGTTGCTCAGGGTTGAAGCCTCCTCCATAAGAGGTAAATTCTAGGAGAAATTTCACCTTTTGCACATCCTTTCCAATCCTTCTCCATCTTTCCTCAAGCACTGCTCACCTCCCCCAGGACTCAGTCACTACAGTGGCTCAGCAGGGACAGAATCCTCTCCCTCCCATCAATGCCATCTGTCCCCTAGCCTATTTCCTCAGGCCCCTGCTGTTGGACCAGGCGGCTCTCTTGATGAATTCACTTGAAGTAAGTTGTGAATGGCTTGTTAGAACTTAAAATGTTCCCCTCCCAAAGAACATTTGTATTTTAACACTGACCGTCAGCACTTCATTCAAAGCGGTGAGTAATGTGGAATTTCAAATGACATGACATAGAACTTACATCAGTTAAGAATGCATCTGGCTGTAACAGGAAGCCATACAACGGTGGCTTAAACAGGGAAAGGTGTTTATTTGTTCCAGGAGTACGTACACACACACACACACACGTTGATTTGTCTGTCCAGGGCTTGTATGGCAGCTCTGTAATGTCAGCACAGGCCAAGCCTCCTTCTCTATTTGGGCTTCAGCCCCACAGTTGCAAGATGGCTGCGGCTCCTTCAGGCATCACAGCCAGGAAGGAGCAAAAGGGAAAAGCCGAAGACGAAGGGGCACTGAGGCAAAGGGGCCACCTTCCCAGGGACTCTGCCTACATCCCACTGGCCAGAACTGAGTCACGTGGCCAGCCCCCAGCTGCAAGGGAGGCGGGGAAGTGAGCCTTTAGTTCTTATTTATTTTGCATAGTTGAGGAGAGTGACGCTCAAAACCAAAATCCAGGTTCTTTTAGCCAGCAGGAAAGGAGAATGGATGGGGAGTTGTCTGTCACAAAATGGGCACAAGCAGGGGCTGGAGAGAGTGTGGAGGACACTTCATCCCACCCTCTTTGTCTATGGGAGAAGGCGCAGAGTGAAGTGCGGAGAGGCGAAGGGGTAGAGCTGAGCAAAACCAGACCAAGCACCCAGGTCTCCGACTCCCGCCTGCCAGCTGCACACCTCATCGCTCTATTTCTTATCTCCTAGAGTTCAGGGACGTGCTTTAAAGCGAGGTGGAAAATGCCACCCTTTCCATCACTGCCCCCACTCTACCCATCGCATAAAGTGTCCCCCTGCTTCCCTCTGGCACAGTTAGCCTGGCTTCTTTTTTCACTTTTTTTTCTTTTCCATTTTTAAGCATACAATTCAGTGCCATTAAGTATATCGACAACGTTGTGCAACCATTGCCATGATCCCAGCCTTTATTTTTCCTTGCTAATCTAATGTTGTTTTTCAGATGTGAGGTTCAGAGATGGGGATTTGAAATAAGGGCAATGAAATTTTAATTCATTCAAATATACAAAGTACTTTTACTTTTCAAAGTGGCTAACGGCTTAGAAACACATGTATTTTCTGCCTGGAAACATGTGGTTTCTTATCTGGATTATTTATCCCCTCCAATAAATGTTGCTGCATGTAACTCTCTTATGCAGAGAGCCAGCATCAGGGCTATGAGCTGCTCCATCTTTCATTCAAGGGCATCAATATCAATCCTCTTGTGTTTGTACTCAGATTCTACAAATAAATTATGTCCTTTGAATGTTCCTGGGGCCATTTTGTGACTTTGGACAGATGAACATTCCTCTGGATTCCTAATCCCTACGAATTGGGCCATAACCAGGAACAACAAGGAGACAGTCAGGGAAGGTGAAGGCGGCCCCCAGCCCACAAACAACCTCCCATTCTTGGAAAAATTCCCACCGAGTCGCACAGGCAGAAAATTGAATCCCGTAACTTCAGTAGACGCGCAACTCTAGAGAGACAACTGGTGCAATTTCCATCTCTTGAAACATTTAAAATGTGTCTGATCAAAGGAGGAGAAAATTAACCACAGTGTAGGAAGCTGGCAGGGGGACGGACAAGATGACCTAATTTGCCTTTCCCATTACTAATTTCAGTAGGAGTCGTCTCTGGGAATTCCACACTGAAATTCCAAGGCAAGCACACCTCGATGGGATCCTGATGGCTGTGAGAATGACAATCAGTTCTTGTGATTTTCGAAGCCTCTGCTGTGGCATCCTTTGGGATTTCAAAGGAACTAAATTCTTCTCAGATAGATACATTGGGCCCCATTCTTATCTACATAATAACTATGGAGAAATTGTCCCTTTGGGTTTCAAAGGATGTGAGTTTGGTCTATCAAAGTTGGGGCTAGGCAATGAATTCATTACTTGCTGAAATAAAAATCAACACAAACATGTCTTTGCCTTAAGAAAAAAAAAAAAAAACCACACCACTTAGTTGCTTTACCAACCTCTGGATTCAATTAATTTTTAACATGGAAGTAAAGTTCCCTTTTATTTTTTTTTCCTTTCAAGCCAGACATTTATTTTTAACAGGGGATGAAATCATTTGAGAACAAAACGGGACATCTGTTACTTTATATCTGTTTATTTTAAGTACTTAAATCTGAGTTTGATTTCACACAATTTTGACATTGTTGCTTCATTAATAATCCTTACGTAATTGCGACCTCGGAGTGCGCCCTGCGATTGCAGCATTCACTTCTCATTAGCGCAGAGTCGGATAGGAAAGCCAGAGTCGCCCTGGGATGGAGAGGCTTCTAGGTTCAAAGCTGGTCTGAATGCTGAGCTCGGCAACAGCAGGAAACCACCTCAAAAAGTGCAAGGAGAAGGCCTCTAATGGGGCTCAACGTTAGTGATGGCCTGAAGTCTGCTGTTAACATCTGCATAGTCCCATTCTGCAGGAGCTGTTGGATGGGAAACCTAGAGGCAGCTGTGGTTGCAAGAGCAATAAAAGATTGCGTGTGAAACACGTACAATTAACTCATACACACGTGTGCAGAACAGTGTGTTGGAGCAGAGGTACTATCCATCCACCAGGTCGGCCAACCCGCTTTTCAAGGTCACCCAAACGCCGGGGGAGCAATGGGAAGGCAGTTGCAGAGTGATGGGCAGAGATAGGATGTGTGAGGGCTTCACAAAGAGGCGGCTCTGGAGACACAGGGGGCTGGAAGAAGGGGTGGCCTGGTACCTGTGGCTGAGAATCAAGATGTGGAGCTCAGAGACGGAGATTTGAAAGAAGGGCAGTGGAATTTTTAATTTGTGCATTCATTTATAGACCAAATATTTAATGAGCTCTACGCCAAACACTGGATATACATTAGTAAATAGGTGGTCCTTCCCCTTCTGAGGGCTAACAGAGCAGCGTGCTATGACAGAGAAGGACTGAGGGGCCTATTTGAGATTTAGGGTGCCATAGAAGGATACTCAGAGAGGTAAGTTGAGACATGAGGATGCGAAGAAGCTGCATGTGGGAAGACAAAGGGAGAGAGAATTCAAGCCAGAGGAAAGAAAATAAAGGACAGCACAGAAGGGGAAGGAGATTGGCTTGTTGGAGGAATGGAAAGGAGGCCAGTGTGGCTGGAGTGCAGTGAGAGAGAGAGTGGAGAAGGGGAGGAGAGAGAAGATCGAAAAGGAGGCAGGGATCACGCCTGGTCTGGCAGGCTAGGGGGAGGTATTTGGACTTAACTGTATGCACAAGGGCAGTTACTGATAGTTTTAAGCTGGCGGGTGATGTGATTTGGTTTATGCTTTAAAAAGATCATGCTGGCTATGCAGGGAATGCATTACAAGGGGAAGGAGCTGAAGCCGGGAGATTAATTTCATAGGCTCTTGTCATGGTCCAGATAAAGGCGACAGTGGAGGTGTGGGGAGGGGGTGGATTGGGGCAATCTTTAGGGTCAGGTCAGCAGGGAATGCTGACGGATTGGATGTGGGGAGCGAAGGAAGAGGAGGGATCAGGACCATCCTGAAGGTTTCTGGCTCCAGCATCTGGGTGAATGGTGGTGCTATTTACCATGATGGGAAGGTGGGGCGGGGCTGGGACAAGGACACCAGGTTGTTGGGGTAGGGTTGGGGTGGGCAATCAAGTATTCCATTTGGGGCATGCTTGCCTTCAGACGTCAAATTGGCATTTGAATATTTGAGTCTGGAGTTCCTAAGAGAGGTCTGGCTTGGAAATATAAATTTGAAGTTGTTGACAAGTGATGATTTTTAAACCAAGACAATGATTGATCTTAGATTTTGAATTAAAGTGGGTAAGTGTTGTGCTGGTTAGAGGTTCTCCAGGGAAGAGACAAAGGTGCCATATTTACTTCACAATATTTTTTGGAATATTTTAAAGTAAATTACAGACGCGATATTTCACCCCTAAGCTTTTTAGTCTTCGAAAAATCAGGACATCTTCCTACTTAAGCACAATCCCAGGAAATGACATTTATGGTTGTCAACTCAGTGCCAGGCTCTTGCCCCAGGCCCAGCACTGTCCACTTATATTTTTCTTTTCCTTTTTCTTTTCATTATTTTTTTTGTGTGGAAGATTAGCCCTGAGCTAACATCTGCTGCCAATCCTCCTCTTTTTGCTGAGGAAGAGTTGCCTTAACATCCGTGCCCATCTTCCTCTGCTTTATATGTGGGACGCCTGTCACAGCATGGCTTGACAAGCGGTGCGTAGGTCCACACTCGGGATCCGAACCGGCTGCTGAAGTGGAACATGTGAATTTAAGTGCTGTGTCACTGGGCCAGCCCGTATATTTTTCTTTTAACCTTTACCTGAATAAAATGAAAAAGATGTGATTGGCCCATTCTGTCAATGAGGACACTATAGCTCAGAGAAGGTTCGTGAATTATCCCAAACTAGATAGCTAGGGACTCTGGAGCCGGGATCCAAACTCAAGTCAGACTGACTCTAAAGCTTTCCCTCTATGCCTCCTTAGCTGTAGACAGAGGCCTAGAAACCCTCTTCATGGAAGGCACAGGATTCTTCTGTCCCTCTGAAGCCTACCCTTGACTTGACCTCTTTTTCTTAGAGAATTATCCTCTATGATTCCCATTCTTTGCTGAGGTCCGAGGACTATGCTCTCTTTCCGCCAGGCTGCAGTGGACCCTTCCCTGAAGGCATTGGGGTCCAGGAGGAATCTGGCTGCAGCCTATCAACCCAATTATCATAGGTTTCAAAAGCCAACTTTCAAGCAGTCCTTGGCTGCCCGCACCATGCCAGGGATGGGGACAACAGCCTTTCCCTGGAGTTTGGCAAGTGAGTGGTGATAGAATAAGGGGTCCTGATGGTAGCGACAGGATGAAGCAGGGTACATTACCATTTTACCTTCTGTGGTCATATCAATGCGTCATGCTCCCAGGGCTGCCCTCCTGAGGAAAGCTTAGGGTTGTGCTCCCGGGGACCCTGCCCCAGCTTCCTGAAAGCCATGACTGGGAAAGTGATGGGGTGACAGCAGTTGACTCAGTACACTGCCTCTTCTACTCTCCCCAGGAAGGGTGTTCCTGGCTCACTCCCACCATCATCCTTCTTGTGGATGTATGTGGAGAGGCCTCTTTCTCTCAAAGGAGGTATATGTACAACCAGTGCACCCAGGGAGGGCTCCCCAGCACTCTCCAGGCCCTTCGCCTGCTTTAGTTTTCTTTATACCACTTCTCATTATCTGTTGTAAGTGCATTTGCTTATTATCTATCTCTCTGCTAGAATTTAAGCTTCCTAAAAGCAGAACCTTTACCAGTTTGCCTCACGATTCATCCCCAGCACCTGCAAGAATGCCTGGCACATTGTAGGCACTTCACATGTTTGTTGAATTAATAATTGAATCAGTCAATCAATTATATAGAGTCACAAACATCTAAATATTAACTGAGTTCAAAAATAG